ACTGCTCTTTCGCTTTCAGTTGTTATTTAAAAGCAAGCTAATGGCGGTTTTGACTTTCAGGAATGCGTTAGTACCAACAGACCATCGAAATGAATGAACGAATCGTAAGAGGACTAGTTGTGCCACTAAAAAGCTAAAGTTATTGCCTTACAATGTAAATCATTCATAAGTCTACGTACTAGGGGATTCCTAGACTAGCTCTCAGCTTTACCTGAGCATCAGCAATTTGATCCCTCAGCTTTACCTAAGCATCAGGGATTTGATCCCTCAGCTTTACCTAAGCATCAGCTCCTCCTACGGGTAATGACCGTGAGCGGTGAACACTGGGGAAAAAAGTTGGTGATCGGTGGGGTCATTATCGCATAATCGGTGAAAGATATATTGGCGGGGTCATTATCTGCAGACTAGGTGCCATGCGCAATTTTAATCAAAGCAGCTATGAAAATATTACCAGCTGTGTAGATTATGGCATTTCATGATGAAATGATCAGAAAGTCAAGATACTTGTCTCGGCCCTTATTTCAGTGATTAAAGACCATTTAAACCACTGGGGGATCCAGGGTGGCTTCTTAAGGAGGTGGGTGGGGGAGGGAGGGAAAGGGGGAAGGAGGATGGGGGAGGGGAGGGGGGCAAGTGGAGCTCCGGGGGCGAGGAAGGGGTGAAGAGGAGGTGCTGAAGAGAGGTTTCTTCAGTTTTACTTTAAAACCCGGACTTTTGTAGCACTGGTGACTGTGACGCTGGGCAGGGGGAGCCAAAGACCCATCGCCTCCTTCCCCGTCCCCCTCCTCCCCACCCCACCATTTCTGGATTCCCCTATTATGCAAACAAATTTTCAAGTTTCACCGGTGATTACAGTAAAAAACCTCAAAATCTTCACGATAATGATATTTTTGCATAATTTTAAACAGCTAAAAATATACTAGTAACTCAAAGGATCAATAAATCTACAAAAAAAAAAAAACTTCAAAAACGCCCCCTTCCCTCTTTTCTGGATCCGCCTACGATGTAAGCAAAATTTCACGTTCCATCGAGAATTTTACAGCAGAAAACCTCAAAATCTTCGCGATAACGATATTTTTGCATAATAATAAACAGCTAAAA